CGATGTTTGAGTGTACTTGGTACTCCACTGTGGGAGAGCAAAAGCCATCCCAGTCCACAGACACACCACGTCGTAACGGAATCGTGTTTAGAAAAAAAAAAGTGATTAACTGTTTTTAGAACTTGGAACTCTACTATGGAAGTGCATAAAGCCGTCCCGTGGGTCTCACAATACATGAGGCCCTGTTGACAAAAATTACGGCGTGAACCAAGAGGACAACAGCGTTCAGGATAAGGGGAAAAAATGGCAGCATATCCACGGAGTGAATGATGGAGAGTGGGGCGAAGCATTCGTCCGTCCATGCGTCCGTCTGTGTGACCGTCCATGCGTCTGTTCGTGCGCCCGTCCCTGCGTTCGTTCATGCATCCGCCCCTGCGTCCGTTCATGCGTCCACCCGTGCATCTGTCTGTGTGTCCGTTCGTCCATCTATTCAACATTCCAAGTCCCACCATCTCGCATCTCTTTATCATATATTCCCGATATAGAAGCACCGCCATTCAGTGGACATTCCAAGGACTAAACGAGAGGTGGCACACGCACACTTTCTTACGGCTTGCGCTTCGTATCTGCTTCCCCCCTTTAACCACCTTGCATTCATGGTATATACTAGTTCATTGTATTCATGGCCCTGCGGCTCAACGTTCGCTAAACCTTTCTAAAACTAAGAAGGTTACACCCAGCGAGTATAATGTAGACACCCTTTCTTGTCCGATAGTGCTCAATGTAGATGCCAATGGCTGCTAATGTAGATCGCAGCGTGGGCGTTGACTAAAAGCCGAATGCTGCTGTCTCTCATTCCCCATTAGCAGCCATTGGCATGTACATTGAGCACTATTTTTTATTGTTAAACAACGCACAGAAGAAATCTCTCACCGGCACCACCTTGGAGGTCAAATGTTATACCTATTTCGGGTATGTGCCACTGGTGGCTACGTACTACGAGGGACGCCCAAGCCACGCCATAAGGAGCTTCGCCCCTAGTAGAAAAACAGCCGTGCTGCTTAGAAAAATTGGGTAACAATTCAGAGTACGAGGTACTTTACTACTGGAGAGCTGAATGCCGTCCCGTCAACGCACCGACAGTGGTTGCATAGTGCGCAAAGAGCTACGCTAATGGGGGCGGGGGGTTAGAAAAAGGGGGTAACGATTTAGAGCACAGTGTACTCTACTATGGGAGAGCTTAAAGCCGTCCCGAGATGGATGATAACAGAACCTGGACACAGCGCTTCCTCAGAACTGTAACATCACTCGCACTTCTGGTGGTTCAGTTTGTCCTGCCGAGACATGCTTGAGTCGCTGGTTTTCAAATTTTAAATTTCGATCGCCTGGCTTACTTTGACGAGTTTTTTTTTTTTTTTTTCAAAAGTTAGCCAAATGTCGTGCTTTCGACTATCCTGCACAACGAGCCTTTAGTTTTCTGTACGCGTAGTAGTTACGCAAACACAGACAAATTGCTTCGGTTCGAAAAGAAACGAGCTTGCATGTCACTCTTACACGGGTGATTGACGGGAGGGCTGTACTTTTGCGCGAAGAGCTGTTTTTTTTATTAGGTTGTAGGCTTATAGTTGTAGGTTTATAGTGCATGGAGAATCGGCCGCTTCCGCCCTGGCGACTCAACGAGCATGGACCAAGGCATGGACACCGGTGATATACAAAAAAAAAAAAAGAAGCGATGCTCACAAGTGGTCCCGCTTATGCACTCGATTACGAGTAGGAAAGTGAAAGCCATCGTATTCTGTTTCTTCTCAGTCCGCCGCGGTGGTGTATCGGTTAAAGCACTCGGCTGCTCACCCGAACGAAGGTCGCGGTTTACGATCCTGACCGGGGTGTCCCTCATACACCGATAGATGTCGAGGCGCTAAAGGCGCGTGTAATAATGTACGATGTCATTGCTCGTTTAAAAGATCACCAGAAGGTTCGAATATCCGGAGCCCCCCCCCCCCCCACCCCTACTTCGTGAATCGTAATCATATCGTAAGTTTTGGGACGCGAAACCCCGGATATCATTAAAATATTCTTGCCAGTGGATGTAGTGATCTCTAACCCCCCCCCCCCCCACCCCTCTGTCATCGAAACTTGATAATATCAGTCTGAGTTTATATGGCTGTTTTGGAGTCGCCTATTATACGGTATGAACGATTTAGAGCACGATGTATACTCTACTACGGAAGAGCAATAAGCTGTCCCAGTTTGAACAAGCATACGAAACTAAGAGCTGTGTAAGCTTCGACTATTCAGAGTACGATGTACTCGAGGTCGCCTTGGTATGAGTTTAGAAAAAAGTGGTTAACGATTTTGAGTACTTGGCACTCAACTATGGGAGCGCATAAACCCGTGCCTCCTGCAGGCAATGTGTGTTTAGAAAAAGTGGTTAACGATTTAGAGCTCTCGGTACTCTACTATGGGAGCGCTGAAAAGCCGTCCCGTTGGCCTACATGTTTAGAGCATCAAGGGGGGGGGGGGGTTTAGAAAAAGGGGGTAACGATTTAGAGCACAGAGTACTCTACTATGGGAGAGCTTAAAGCTGTCCCGACCTTTGTGACCGTGTGGATCCCGTTTGCATCGAATACAGTGCCTCCTTCGACGCCTACCAGGTAGACGGAATAGGAGAGTCAGTTTTGAACACATCGACGCAATAGTCTGTCGCTGGTGCTAAACAAAAAACTTGAGCGCCATGTCAAATATCTCAGGTCATCGTTCGGTCGAAACTTCTGAATACCAGTCCGGAGCGAAGAACTTTTATTTTAAAACGTGCCTACAGTTGACTTTAGGCGAGACGAAGTACTTGAGCCTCGAACGAAAACAAGATGATAAGGCTTTCTTAAGCAGGCGTTGAAGTCCCACCGAACCACGTTTGTGCGCAGAGCTTATATTTGTTGGATTGGATTGGATATTTGTTGTTCAGTCGTAATCGACTTAAGAAATGCTCGAATGTAAGTGCACCGATACGTTTTCCAGCCTAACTGAGAGCGCAACAAGAAACGAGAGCGTAACACGGAATTTAGTTTTAAGAGCATCATATCTCTATATGAAAGACATCTTCTCGGATTTATAAATATCCCAATTCAGGGTTCGATTTTTTTTTTACTACGCGCACTAGTCAGTTCCCCCGAGCATCATCGATGATCGGTGTACTAAAAATTATCACTTAAACCCAGCACTAATTATGGCAAGCTTGCTCCGCAATTCTCATCGCCACAATTTTTACAGCTCTTTGCCAGTGGGAGTAAACAAGACATCCTTCAAGATATCAGGTCTTGATTTGACACTTGATGTCATCACTGCAATACCCACAGTAGCTCCGCATATATATATATATATATATATATATATATATATATATATATATATATATATATATATATATATATATATATATATATATATATATATATATTCACGCTGACAAGTACATTTGATGTAACTTTTCCTTTGTTGACCACTGTTAAACAATACCTTACCACTTTTGTATATATTTCCATGAGTGGTTTTCACTGTCATTCGCACGAATTTCAGAGCTGCTTCATTTCTTTTGTGCACGTTACATGATACACATTTCTTTAAATCTACACTAAGCCCGTTGTAACGCGTACCTACGGGATCTCTTGATAAAACACGACATCACAAAAGTAACAGGCGTTTCTTGAGAGCCTATAAACGGCATCACCGTCGACCCCGCCGCAGTGGTGTAGTGGCTAAGGTACTCGGCTGCTGACCCGCAGGTCGCGGGTTCGTATCCCGGCTGCGGCGGCTGCATTTTCGATGGAGGCGGAAATGTTGTAGGCCCGTGTGCTCAGATTCGGGTGCACGTTAAAGAACCCCGGGTGGTCGAAATTTCCGGAGCCCTCCACTACGGCGTCTCTCATAATCATATGGTGGTTTTGGGACGTTAAACCCCACATATCAGCATCACCATCGATCCGCTCCGCGGGCGGAGATCCTGAAATCACCGAGAAGATACCGTTGCGCCGACAGATCTTATCCGTAGGAGAATGCAGGCGATTCGAAAAGCGCTTGCGTAGACGTGCAATGCGCCCACGACAGCGAAACGTTTGAATACGTACGCGTAGGTAAAAGTTTACACAAAACGGACGGCAGAACGTTATTAAAATAGCCGGACGAAATAGACTGTAAAAGATCAGCGTATAGAGTCGCGTCAACTGCAAACGCGAACGTGTTCTGTCGTGACTAGTCAGTGAACAGACGTTCGTTAAAACGTCCGCTCTACACTTCGTGGAGGTTTTTGACATTTTTCATACTAACGCCGTACGTCAAGGTTGACGGATACATTTCGATAAGATAACCTTGCATAGAGGGTAGGCTCGACAGTTTCTTTTTTGTTTTTTTTTAATTTTTTTTAGGGGGGTGGTTAAATTGACTAACTTAAGCAGCACACGTTCTACGCCAATCCGACACCCAAAAAGGCTGTCACCTGGGATGTGATGCCCAAACAATGTGCGCGAGAGAAAACTAACAAACGAACGAACGAACACAGCAGGTCATTCCTATAACGTCCAAACGGCGGGACCTCTTGTTCTCACCCGTTGAAATCTCCACGGTGACAGAAATTGTCGTATTATATTGATAACGATGGACAAGGTATGCGAAGGTAATATTGTTCCGGGAGTGAGTAGACATACATACATACATGCACACACACATACGTACATACACACACACACCACACACACACACACACACACACACACACACACACACACACACACACACACACACACACACACACACACACATACGTACATACATACACAGACAGCTAAGAAACACAAAGAAGTATTTGGCTTGAGGAAGTAGATGATGGATAAGGCGATGCCGTACATCAAGTGGTCTTTTTTTATTTAATGTATATAAGGAACGGTTCACACACGCACAAACACAGCCACATACACACAAAAAAATAAACGTCCACGCATTGCATGGTCTTCTTTTCTCCGAAAGCTAGCCTTGAAAGAAAAAAAAAAGATCCGACAGAAACTCACCGGAGTAGTTGTCGAACGCCGTGGGCACGTACTCCGTGGGGTAGCCGTTGGTGGTGTAGCTGACGACGAGGCTCGTCTTGCCGACGGCTCCGTCCCCGACGAGCACACACTTGACCGAACACACACAGCCGTCGCCGCCAGCAGCGGCCGAGCCACCGCTGTTGGCGGCCAGCGTCGCCTTCATCTCCGGCGTTAACAAGCTCGCCGACTGCTGGTCCCGCGCTAGAGGAGGCATCGCAGCCAATTTCCGTGTCTCTCCTCCCCGCACAACGGCCTGCCGCTACCAATTGCGACCGCTTGCCCGAGACCTGCGGTCAGAACAAAAAACACACTCCCCGATTCACAGAACCCCCGACAGCCTTTGGCGCTGCTCGGACTCACTGACACTCCTTAACGTAAACACGTACGAAGGCTCCAGAAGCACAAACGCCGATCAGGAGGTCGTGACACTCTCGAAACACTCCCGAGATGTAAGGCGACCCGACACAACGGCGGACTCCTTCGGGCTAGGCCTAAGCACTACCTCGGCTCACCGACCGCCGCTGTTCCTCGCCTCGATGTCGTCAACGCGCGCCGGCGACAGGGTCGCATGACAACACCATGCCGAAAGCCGCCGATCGTCCAGTACGACACGACGTGGACGCCGTCCCGTAAGCGAAGAAGAAGAAGCAGGAAATACCCGCGTCACACCTGCGGAAAGGTACGAACGTGACTTGACCGCCGCAAAGGTAGACGGCGCGTAGCACTCCGCTTCCGATTCAAAACACACGCACCGAGGAACGGTGAGGAGCGCTCGCACGCGCGCACAGCTGCCGTCGCTTTTTGTCGTCTGCTTCTGCTGCCGTCAAGTTGCGTAATGTGACCGCTACAAAGCTGCTGGCGCTACCACCGCGTCTCAGCGTGGCCAACAGAAAAGTTTGTTCTAAATCTTAACTTAGCGACACGGAGCGTATTTGAAACAAGGCGGCTATGACCCTTGTTCGTATTTCATTTTTGCTTCAAAACTTTAAACTTAACTTGGAACTTGTATATTGTACCTATATAATAAACTTTTGAGCATTTTAGTTACTTTTGTTAGTTTTTAAGGCTGTTTTTTTTTTGTAAGCGGTTTTGCTGAACTAGAGTTGAACGCAGTTAGATGAAGCATAGCTTTCGAGATTTGTTTCATTCTCACTTGTAACCCGTCGGTAGTTCAACCCCCATAATATTTCTACTGAGCAGTAGAAGTGATGCAGTCTGAAGTTATTTAAGAAATAAATATATTTGTTACATTAGGCCTGCTTGAAGCACCTGCTGTATCATAGGCTCTGCGATTCACGAGTGATATAAGAGATTCGACGAGCTATCGCTTCGGCTGTCTGATGCACGCAAGTGGAAATGCGTTACATATAACACATATATCACTTTACGTAGCGTGTGTATGGATCTGCTGCGTTTTTTTTTTTATTTTGCCGCGGCCGCGAACGAAACTCAGTTGAAATCACCCCTCAATTTTCACAGCTCCTGCTGCCTAGTGACGACATTTGAAAGTAGCGCTAACGTGGTGTTTTTAGTCTTGGAGGCTGAAGTTTTGTATGACGCTGCCTTATTTCTTTGCATTAAATGCCTTGAGGCACGCATTGTCCATCTGTGGCGTTGTTTTGTTCTCCGGTAAAAGAGAAAGAGAGATTTCTATTGTTAAAACTTTGAAGGAGCTCTTTCGTAGCGTCGAACTAGGCGCCACCAGCTCGTACCACGTCGAGATAACATTGCCCTCCAACGGGTTAGGAGGCTCCAGTCCTTTATTAATTGTCGGGTTATGTATGAGGCAGTTTTACTTGAAGGTATGTTGCCATTCAAACAAAACCTGCGCTTGCGTGAACACACACACACACACACACACACACACACACACACACACACACACACACACACACACACACACACACACACACACACACACACACACACACACACACACACACACACACACGTGCACACGTGCACAAAGAAAAAAAAACAATTTCTCGTTGTCGCAAACTGTCAGCTGACAGACTAACGCCACCTATCGTGAAGTTTGTGAATGTTAACCGAAAAATTAGCGCTACCTAGGTAGAAGAGAAGAGAAGTCACGTGACGTCCGGCGTTTGGAAGGAGACGTGCTCGCAATAGAAGCAGTCATGCAATCTGTTTAGACCGTCATTAAATCAGTTTTGTTATCCATTACGATTGTGTCATGTGCAGCAATCCCTGTTACAAATGGCTCGCTCAAGCAACGGGGAACACGGTATACACCGAAAAATAGTGTAAAAAAAGGCTAATTGATCATTACGAAGCAGACGTTGACGTTGTGTATAAGTAGATTAACTGGAACACCTATTTGGCCTAAAACGTATACCATAAAAAAGACACGTGTCGCGATGAATATATGGATGGATGGATAGATAGATGGATGGATGGATGGATGGATGGATGAACTTTATTTGGCCCTGCGGAACGTGCTTTAGCACATTGCGGGCCGCTCCCACGTCGGAACAGATGCTATATCAAAAAGCACGCATAAAAAACAAGTAAAAAAAAGGCTGCCGAAGCTAATGGAATGTATCGTACTTTCTCGTGCACAACCCCCACCAAAATCTTGAAAATTTCAGCGGCCAAGTGGGGGTGCTGATAATACGCGGGCATTTTCCTATGGTGCTCCTTCACAGCAATTTGTGTTGTGCCGTGAAGCCTCTTAACAGTGCTGCGAAGGCTACGGAGGCGGTTTCCGCAAATTCGTGTTGCTCCGCAAGTAGTACAGCAGCTTGCGGCCATTTTCGGTTTCGCTTGCTTCCATTGCTGAAGCATTTAGAGAAATATGTGGAGAGAGGCAATTAGATTATTCAGTGTAAACCTCACTGTTTACAATACAAGTATGTTTTTTTTTTTTTTTGACGTTTGCGGTAGCATATTTAGGGCGGTGGCAGGCATGCATTTAGGGTCTGTTGCTTCCACGGTGCTGTCGAGAAATGTCGCCGAGTGTGAGCTCTGTTTACCTCGCCGATATCACTATTTTTCCGCACCTCGGCCCGTTAACCAAACGTAATTCAATCTGTTTTGTCACCATGAGTAGCGTCCGGTGTAAGACCTTTGCCGCAAAGCAAAAGCCTAAGATCATTGCCGTCGCCGACGAATTCGGGAATCGCGAAGTGGGATGACGGCTCGATATCATGAACCAGCACAAACTCTCTTCACCCTCTTCTTCATCTTCTGCTTGGCTCACAGAACACACGTGTGTGTTCGACGTGCGATGCAATAACTCTAATTGGTAAACGCCTCCTCAACTTCTATCAATGCCAGTTGTGGGTTCTCGAAGTGCAGAGTGCCACGCTCTTGGAGAGAACGGACACAGTAGACACGATCGCACCGAACCGAAACACATTAATTTAACTGCTTTTAGAGTGACGATATCATCAGCCGAATTATTACACACCGTTTGTGATCAACACACTAAAACAACCTTACACAATATTACCATACACTCACTAAGATAACAAACACAAGGTAGCGCGAGGGTAGCGCCACCAACGCTCGACTCACCACGAGGGACTACGGCAGACGAGCCACGGTACCGAGTGCCATAGAGTTAATTTACAGATAAGGACCCGCATAAAGCAGGAGCCAACCGTTCAAACCAACCGCCACTCCCCCCCCCCAAGAAAAAAAAACACACACACACATAGACCGCTCATCTCGCATGAGCCACCCCGCAGGCCTCCCGCCAGGCGTCACAGCCAGCATCATTGCACTAACCGTGATGATGACCATGATGATGACGCCACCTAGCCGTAATACTTAGTGAACCACCACCTAGATTTATCTTTTTTTCCCTTTGAATAGTGAAGTATAGGACTGGTACTTTGCAGTGAAGGGTTTAATTTTCACTCGTGCCTTGACTTTAGCTACCAATAAGATAACCTGCTTCAAGTTAATTCTACCCGTTTAAAGTCTATTTTGCCCTCCCTGTCCCAAAACCCCAGTGCTTTGAAAAACTCTGCGTCATCACTCTGAGCTATAGGGTGAAGCCCTTTACAGAACATTATGAAGTGTTCGGCAGTTTCCTCCTCCTCTCTGCATGCACTGCTTACCGTGTCTACCCAAGGAGGAGGATGATGGTGATGATGATGGTGCCCACTTAAAGATCAAGTGGCTTTGATATGTTATGTAAATGCAACGTTAGTTGTATGTTAAAAGATAGTTGTTCTCGACGAAATAACACACAGAAACGAGTATAGATGACGGAATCTTTAAAACACTTTGCCTCCAGTTAGAAACTCACTAAGGAAAACTAGTAACTGTAAGACGCACTTGGAGCGCTATGTGACCAGAAAAAGTTCCCACATTAAACTTGTTGGGCGTGATAGGGAAGCGCTTCGTTTTTATTCACTGAACGGTGATAATTTATTATGCCCCTAGTAAGATGGTCACCACCGCCGCCATCTTGCCAGTGGAATGGCTTCACTCCTGGGCAGTCATTTCCACTCTAGCAATTTTTTAAATCCTCCTTGTGTCTACCCCTTCGTATTTGGCCCTATATGTCTTGGTTCGCAATACTCCCGTCCTGGCCTCAAACAGTAGAGAACTACCGCGAGTATTATCATAGATCATTTCCTTGGCAATTTCCTGCTTAAAAGCTGACGAAGACCACCATGACGACCAAAACGCTGACGAAGACGACCATGAAGCTGAGCACGAAGATGAGCAAGTGTAAGGAGACGAGGGGGACCCCGTGGAACGGGTTTACGTCAATGATGAGGGTCGCCTCGTTACCCTTGTGCGTCGGGATTTTCTTTATGTCACCCGTGGTCGACGATATCTCATTTGTGGTGACTCGGTCATCCCGTCCTAGCGTCAGGATGTTCTTCATGGCGACCTGGCTATTGCCGACACTAACAGCGGCCTGCCTGTCCGAGGTTGATGAAAGCTCTTCTTGATGTCGATGACTCGAAGAAACTTGGTCCACAACCACTGCGCGGGAGTGGGCCATGCGAATTTTCTGAAGCACCACATACGCAACGTATGTGCCACCCGATTACCAGGATGCGACATGGAATCTGAACTATACTAATAATTGACGATGACGATGATGCTGCTTGTTGGATGATTGGCACCTACCCGCTCAGAGGGATCCGCCAAGAGTCTGGCAGACTTTCCAGGCTGGATTCATTATTATTAGTACTATAAGTGCTGATAGTGGTTACAAATACATTTATAATAAAGCCTTAACCCTTTGTATCCCAGCGGCAACAAATGTTGCCATTACATAAATTGGCGCTAAAAATCCCGTGTGAGTCGCCCAACATTGAAATTTCGTTTTTTAATTACGCGATATATTGAAGTTTCAAAATTTGCTAACTAGATGGCGCTACCTGTATTGACAACTCCACCACAACACAAAGAAGAATGGCGTCTCCCTCAAAATGCCCGCCACGGTAAGTACCTCCGCGTTACAGTGATATCTCACTATTTACCTGCTATTTCTTCCTTTAAAATACTTCTGGTGTAATGGAGGAACTCACAAGGAATATTTTGATGTCAATTGCTCTAGGAAAAACCCATTAGAAGTATTTATTTTTCGTCCGTGCTGTGTTGCGTACACATATGTTGCCGTGAGGAATACGGGGCTCCGGAGTTTCACGAATTGGTCTGTGGGGCTGCTTTTCGTTCGCTTCGTTTTATAAAACGCCGCGGTTTGCCACAAAAAATTTGGTTTCTAATGCAACACAACATCTCTCCGCAGGCGTGGATTAACGGACACCGAAATCCAGGAACTTTTGTTCGACTGGCCAAGTGGGAGCGAATGCTCCGATTTGGAAAGCTCCGACGATGACCAGGCGGAAAGGACCGCAAGTCAACATTGTAGTGGGACAGATTCGTCTAGCTTGTCAGACACCGACGGTCTTGATGTCGAAGAGTCCACTACTGTGAAGAACAAGATAAAAAAAAACCTGGCACTGGGTAAAGAAGGACCTTGACATCAACGAAGGCTTTCCTACTAGCATTCTAAGTCCAAGAGTCTCTGCGGCAGAGGCTAAAACGCCTTTGAGTATGTTTACTAAGCTGGTAGATGAGGATTTGATCGAACATCTGACGTTCGAAACAAACCGATTCCGGGTCCAGAGCAACCGCACGAGAGTAAAACCTGTGACGCTTGAAGAAATGAGGAAATTTCTCGGTATGATCCTGTACATGTCTGTAGTGTCCATGCCATTCAGGCGCATGTACTGGTCCCGGTTATTGCGCCAATCCCACATTGCGGACTGCATGCCAAGAAATCGCTTTGACGAAGTGATCTCACTTTTCCACGCGTGCAACAACGACACCGAGAAGAAAAAGGAAGAAGATGGCTACGACAAGCTTTACAAGGTCCGTCCGTTGCTCAGCCGGCTGAATTATAATTTCCAGGGTGCTGCAGAAATGGAAGATTGCCCTGCCGTGGATGAAATGATAGTACCATTCAAAAGCCGACACAGCCTCAAAATGTACATGAACAAAAAGCCTAGAAAGTGGGGCTACAAAGTGTGGACACTGGCTGAGAGATCCGGCTATGTGTACAAAATTGAGCTTTACGGAGACAATTTAGTCATTGACCCAACGGATTTGTCAAATGACATCGGAGAAAGTGGAAAAATTGTTGTGCGACTCTCTGAGGGCTGTGAAGGGAAAGAAATATTTTGTGACAACTTCTTCGCTTCAGCGGATCTTCTAGTTGAAATGAAGCGTCGCGGATTAGGATGCACAGCAACCATGAGAAACGGCAGAATTGGACGCTGCCCCCTAAAAACCGAAAAATTCCTGAAGGGGGAAGGCCGTGGATCCTTTGATTTCCGATCAGAAATGGACAGCGGCATTATTATTTGTCACTGGCATGACAACCGCAGCGTCATGATTGGATCGAATACCCATAGTGTAGGTCCTGTGGGCGTCTGCCGGCGATACGACAAAAAAGCAAAAACATACACCGAAGTTTCCCGACCGAGCATGGTAAGAGTATACAACCAAAGCATGGGTGGTGTCGACAGAGTGGACCAGCTGCTTTCTTTCTACCGCAATGAGTTGAAGACGAAGAAGTGGTACAAGAGGATAATTTTTCACTTGCTAGACCTTGCTGTTGTGAACAGCTGGTTCTTGTACCGCGCCGTAAAGGATTCGGAAATCCAGCTCGCAGAATTCAAGCTTCAGGTCGCCTTTGGGCTAATGAAGTCGGAAAAGTCACACGAAGCGCCCCTCCATGACCGTACTCTGACCGAAAATTGGCTGTCGAACCGATCTTCAGATGTACCCACTTCCGTCAGGTATGATGGGGTAAATCATCTGCATGTCAAAGTGCCGCAGAAAAGTGCCCCAAGGTGCAAGCTACCGCAGTGTTCACGGAGAACAAGGCTCCAGTGTAAGAAGTGTAAGGTGTACCTGTGCGTCGAAGAAGATGGACCAGCAAACTGCTTTGAAAGGTTCCACACTGAGTGACTTCGTGTTCCTAGCGTACACATATGTGTACGTTCTTTTTCTTCAATAAATAAGGTTTTGTTGAAGGACACATATTTTTTTTTTCTGTGTTATTTGGGACATTTTAATAGAGAGTCAGCCAATAAACGCTTGCTGTTGTGCCTACGAACAGCAAGGGATACAAACTTAGTCTTGCTTCTTAGTCTTGCTATCACTGTTTTGCGTAACCTCCCAATGACCAAGTGTTGCTTATAGAGCACTCTGTAGAAAAAGAAAAAAAAAAACCTAATGCACCAAAGCGTTCTGGCGATCTTTACTTTGTGTTCCTTTTGCGATGAGGTAGACGGGGTCGAACACTTCTTGCTGGACTGCCGACGTTTCCAAACGATCAGACGAAAAACCATTGAAATTTTAATTCAGCCGCTTGGTCTCACAGTTACTACGCCGGCAGTACTGCAGCTTGGGGCTTCTGTACTGAGACACTCAGACGGTATATAGGCAGTGTTGCAGAGAGCACCGTAATTGTGTCAGTAAAATCGCTTCAAAACTATGCACATCGCCGGGAGACCTGCACGCCCCACGCAAGCAGAGGGTGAAAGAGCGGCGTGCGTATCACACGTAGCGTCACGCATGTGCCACAAGAATCGGGCAAAGATCTTGGCTCATCATATAGTCGACTATATGATGAGTCAATGACGAGACTTAATTAAACTATGTTGTTGAATTTGCTTGGGGCAAAGTTGCGAGGATGGATGCAAAAAAGCTGCAATGAGCAGCTTGAAGGGAACGTTATAAAACCTTATCGAGCTGCTATGGGAACCTACTATTACGCAGCTTGACGGAAACCTGTGTGAGGGTTACCCCCTTGAGGGGAACAATCTACTAAATATGCAGCAGTCTTCTACGCGCACGAAAACGTTTGTGCCACAAATATTGGTCAAACACCACCACTGAGCACTGATATACTAAAAACGAAAAGGAGAACACGATGGCACAAACATCAATCAGGATTTATGGATGGACGTAACCAATATGATTAAGAGAACCCTTAGCGCACCATCGGGATAAATACGTTTTAGTTTCGCTGGTTAGCCATTTATAGGGAGCAGGGCCGTAACCAGGGCGGAGTTGTGGGCGGCTCTGACATCCCCTGAAATTTTTTTCATGCTGTTAACTTTACGTGAGATACTAACGTACTTACACACCTTCGCAATGACTATCAGTTGCCAAAGCTCTACTCATAAACACCTTCAGGAAAAATCGCAGCATATTGATGGAGTGAATGATGATGAGTGAGGCGAAGCGTCCGTCAGCCCGTCCGTGCTTCCGTCCCTCCGTTCGTTCTTGCTTCCGTCCGTCCGCGCGATATATCCGCGCGACCATCCATGTGTCCATCCGTGCGTCCATACATGCGTCCGTCCGTCTATCCATGCGGCCGTCCGTGAGTCCGTCCATTCATCTGTCTCTCTGTCTGTTCGTGCTTCCATCCGTCCGTACGTCCGCGCGTCTATCCATCTGTCCGTCCGTTTGCTAGTCTGTCTGTCCGTTCGTCCGTGCGTCCACCTAGTTAACACTCCAAGTACCTCCATCTCCCATCTCGCATCCCCTGTGGCACATATCCGCTCTAGAGTGGGTATGTGCCACTGGTGGTTACGTACTGCTACATACATACAAGGGATGGACAGACCCACGCCTTAAGGAGCTTCGCCCCTAAAAAGATTCTGGGGCACGGCCTTGGTACAGAGTGCTTAATTAGATGGTGTTCTTGTTGTTGTAGCTCGTTTCGAAAAGTTCCTTCGAAATGGGACGCATACGACTATGCGCATGCTCCCGCTGCTGGCTTTTATGAAGGCGCTTAGGACATGGGGAGCGGGTGGGGAGAGCGTTTGCTACGCTCGGCGGCGGGAACTGAGCGAGTGAATGCGCGGTGTGCGCGTTAAAGCCATTTGATCTGGCTTTATGTGCGCGTGCAAAAAAGCTCAGCGCCTGCCATCTACAGCTGGGTATTCGCTCCCACTGCGCTGGGAGCGCGCACCTGTTGATTTTCTCGGCACGCTTGCCCGGCGCAGGGAGCTTCGACGGCGACACTGGAGTGCGGCATTGCAGGGGTGGTGCCACCGAATTTGTGGCATGCGTGTTCTTTGCTGCAAGCGCTTCCTTCAGCTCCAAGAAGCATGATCCACGCACCAAGATTCGTGTATTTCCGCTAAATATTTCAATAACGCTCTTCTTATGTGGACAATTTTCGGTTTCGGTTTTGCGGCGCCGAGTTGGGCAGTGACGTCGATACATAGGTGGCTTGACCACGTGATCACTCAAGCCTGTGACGCGCATCGTGCTGAATTTCGTCTGCTCTCACACACAGGTGTCACACAAGTGCCAGCAAAACAGAACGCTTTCGCAGGTTTCGATGCGTAGCGCTTAGCCAAGAAGCGATCGAAACTGTGCGAGTAATACAGCAACCGATGCATTTGCTGGTACGTTGGGTACGCTCGTTTCGGAGATGGGGGAGGTCACTCACGTCACTACAGACCTGGTGTGACGTCACGACAAGTGTCGTTGCTTCTCCTATTCTGAAATTACGATAGTTATAGCGCGAGAACAAAACGACGGCACAGAGACAAGAAGGACACGAAAGACGCGAGCGCTACCCAAGCGCTCGTGACACGAAAGACATGAACTAGCCCAAGCTGCCACACTATTCTGAAACGTCAGTGCTGCTGCGCTAGCGATGGGCCTAGATTGCGAGAGTGAGCATTTAGCTACACTTTTAGAAGTGAATTAAAGATATTGTACGTGTTTTTAGAGTCCGACCCTTCGTGTAGAGAGTCCTTGTATACAGAAGAAATCCACAACAAGCCTGGGATAGCCTTGAAATTTGGTGGCACCACCCCTTTAACGAGCTTCGCTCCTAAAAACGTTCATGCTGTTGGTACGTTCGCAGCGTTAAAGTTTATCAAGTATTGCGCACGCGCTTTTATTATTCAGTAATGAGGGCCATGAAGCATCCCGCGTTCTTAGGAAGCGTACGTTCAGAGCACTGGATTTCTCAACGAGTTGATGCCAGCGACCCCGGCCCATCGGCCGTACGCTGGCCATCCCGGGTGTCGTTGCTGCGGCAATGGCTGCGGCGAAACTGGTCGAAGGTGCTGCGGGGGGTTGCCAGAGGACCTGCAGCATGATCGAGAGAGGAATTAAAAGAGAAATAGCCGAGTGACTGAGCGGGACAGCTGTGCATGGAGCGGAGGGGCCAGCGGAGCGCAAGACAAAGGGAAGAATAAGAGCCGAGCGAATGCTCCGCTTGTTTTAGCGGAGACAGTGGTGCGCATTGTTGCGCCACCTGTTGAGCATGGTTTAAACTACTGTCTATCGTGCAGAGGTTTTGCCCAGGCTGTGTTCCACTTGTTAGACAGCTCGTAGACAGTCTACGCAGACTGCTTAGAAGACAGCACCGAGCCCATGCTGTCCGAGAATTGAAACACTTCTGGACGGCTTTTACGCGACGATGCGCCACCTCACGGTGAGAAGAAAAAAAGCTAAAACAAAGAAACGTAACAGTTGTATTTTCTGGCTTATTTCGTGTTAAAATAAAAAAAACAAATAAACGTTACTCACATTGAGCGTCTGGGAAAGCGTCTGTTTGTGTGCAGACGACCATTCCGGAGAGGTTTGATCTATCTGAGCGATTCGCTGAGCCGCCATCTTGTTTAGACAGCAAAGTAGCCTGCATCGCATTTGTCTACGATGCGGTCTTCTCGGAGCTGTCTATTTTGCCGGCTACGTGAGAATTGGAATGGGACTTAAGATGGCCGCCGTCCATTTAGCTGTCTATTTAGCCGTCTACGGTTAGTATTGGAACACACCCCCAGAGAACGCTCGCAGGCTGGTCCGCTGCGCTAAGGAGACGAAATGAGTGGGAAAGCGGCTGGCTCCATAAAATCGCTGGCTCGCCCAACGTGCTGCGCATGCGTAGTTTGTCTCTCCGCTCCTCGCTGGGCCCGCTGGTTCTCTGAGCCACTCAGCCATTACTCTCTATTGAGACATTCGTGACGTCATCCGCAAATGGAGCGTCTATAATTTTTCTTTTACCCACCTCGGTGGTCTAATGGCTATGCATGGTGCTTGAATGCTGACACGCATGCCACGAGAACGAGTCTCTGCCAGTAGTGGCCGCATTTCAATGCTAATTGTCCGCGAGCTTGTGTTAGGGTGCACGGTTATGAACGCCAGGGCGTCGAAATTTCCGGAGCGCGTCTCTCGGTGTCCGTCGTAATTATATCGTGGTTTTGGGAAATAAAATCACAACAATAATTTATTTATAAAATTTTTCTTTCCTTCCTGCACATACATAGTAAGGTCTTTCCGGTAGTGCGACGAATTTTCTGGTCAACTAAAGCATTTTATAGCAAGAGCTTGTCTTTGTAATCCTGCGATACAGCTTACTCATAAGAATGCGCGCCACTAGTGATCAAAATTCATTATTCGTATACAGTCGGATACAACTTTATATGTCACTGGTAATGCACTCCCCCCCTCCCCCCATGCTGCCTTATGCCGTTTTAATGGGTTCAGGTAGAGGCTGACTTTGATCCTCGCCCCGGCGGTCGCATTTCTTCGGAGGCGAGACCCTACAGTCCCGCGTAATGTGCAATGTGAGTGCAAGTTAAAGACCACCAGATAGTCGAAGTTTCCGGAGCCCTCCACCATGGTGTATCTCATAATCATATAGTGGTTTTAGGACGTAAAACTCCAGATATCAATGTTATGGGTAGAGGTTAGGTCAACTCGCATAGCCAGAGCTGAGAGCTTCCGAGATAAAGGGCGTTTCAGCCACTTTTCCGTTAGGGGCATGCAGGGACTACAATCGCCGTACACCATTGTGAAGGTGGATTGGGTGACTGGCATGGACGAAAAAAAAAACTGTGACTTGGCTAGTAGGCGACTTAGATATTTGACATAATTGAGGACTAACTGGCATAATAATATGTTTCAACTACTTACTGATGTGAGGTTTTTTAGGTTTTTTATCGCTTTATATGAAATTCCAAGTCCTCGGGAGTCTAGAAGCTGTACTAGTAAACGTACACGCATCAACATTGAATACTTTTTTCAAACTAGTTTCAGTACATGCTAAACACTGACGTCACGACAATTGTATACGAGGCTCTATTGCTGACGTGCGAGCAGCCGTTTCGAATGTTCTCGGTGACGAGCAAGCGGCCATGTTGCACGTCTCAGTGTCCCACGTCATTGCAACAAACCTAGCATGGTGCGTGAGGTACCCAAAATAGACACTCTTGGCTGACGTCACACTGCCATTGTCAGTGGACGTGCCAAGCGAAAATGTTCTTGAACACACACACACAAAAATAATCTTATCGGCATTTCCTGATCTTCACTACTGCACAGTGTTGTACATAGGTAATACATGGCAGAGTAAAGCCGGCTTCTGAAATTGCTGTCAGTAACGCCTGAAGTAGAAACGCCCAATCCACGTCGGACGCGCTCCCCTGATGACCAGGCGTCTGTCTGCGGAGCTCATCTCTTGGGCGACTTCGCGCCCCGCCATCCACGCGGGGTAGCCCTGGTTGAGCTTTTGGTAGTAGCGGTCGTACAGGTGCGTCAGCGAGAGGATCTCGTCGTGAACGCTGGTCGCCAGGTAGTGCAGCGCGGCGATCACGGTGTAGATGCCGATGCCCACACCCAACACGACGATGGTGTGTGCACCGACGAACGATTGAAACGCGTCTACGCAGTTGCGCGTGTAGATCTGCGAATCAATCAATCAATCAATCAATCAATCAATCAATCAATCAATCAATCAATCAATCAATCAATCAACGCTTTATTGTCCATTGTTAAACTGTCTACAAGACCATTTTCCGATAGTTTCTAGCAGTAGCATTCGCTTCGGTGCTCTGCAGTGGTTACGACTCTCTACTCCCGACTTGAAGGTCGCGAGATCGAACCCAGCAGCCGCGGCTGAAGTTCGATCGAGGTGACACGCTATAGATGTCCGTGTACTCATATTTATGTACACGCTAAAAAAACACCAGATGATCAGCGATTCCGAAGAGCTCCACAATGGCGCTCTTCATGTTTATATCGTGGTTTTGTGACGCAAAACCCCGACAATTACAGTACGGCATGCACATTCTCACGGCGTAGAGAGAAGCGATTACAGGGTCAGCGAAGATGGACAATAAGACTGCTGAGGTAGTCTTCCATATGGGCATACGCACAGGTGTGTGTGGGGGGCAGTGATATTCCTCGTAGCAATAAACAATGTGTAGACATTGTCTTAGTTGATTTTTACTAGGGACATAACCTACACATTGTTCCATGCCAGGCAACAGTAAGACAACAAAAGTGTACAAGATGATCATCACCTTGTCTGCCCATTGCCATCATAGGCGTAGCCAAGGAGTGGGGGGATGTTGGGGGATTCAAATTTCTCAAATATGTTTTCAATTTTGCTTGTGTATATATTGACCTTCCATGAAAAAAACTTCGGGCTGCGCCCTTGATTGCCATATATAGTTCTCGTCTACGAGGGATGTCTGTGGCACCTTGCTCCAGGCCTGCTGCTCGGTACCGGCCAGGACACCGCTGCCGCAGAAGCGCCGCCTGAGACGAGTGTCGACGTCGTCGCCGTCCGGAGGCTTGCAGCAGGACGACGGCACGGAACAGCGCTCCACGCTGGGGTTCGTCTTGGAGCAGTTGAAGTAGAGGTTCTGGTCCCAGTCTCGGTAGCGCTCGCTCGTCACGCCGCAGCACTCGAACGTCGACTGCAATGGTAGGGAACGTGCGATGAATGTGTTGGGGAACCTGGTACGTGTCAGATTGACGGACTTCCGGGAAATTGCCGAGTACGCCACCTCTGCTGCACGCCATAGTGTTTCCTAATGTCACAGTATAGAAGGAATCTGGAGCTGGTGTCTATGTGTCTATAGGAGCTTGAATACACGACAGTTAAGCCAGCATAGAAATGCTGGGTGATACATACTACGTTGAGAAGCACAAATATTTGGGCGATTCCATAGCTCAGCAAAACCAACGCTCTTTTCCGGCAGTGACACAGGATAACAAGTGAATTATTGGCACAGCATCCATAGGAATGCTGAGTAATACATACTACGTTGAGAAGCACAAATATTTGGGCGATTCCATAGCTCAGAAAACGAACCTTCTTTTCCGTCACCGAAACAGGATAACAAGTGAATTATTGTCAGCCTTTTGTATCCACAGCCCCGCCGTGGTGGTCTAGTGGCTAAGGTAGTCTGCTGCTGACCCGAAGGTCGTGGGATAAAATCCCCCCGGCTGTGGCGGCTGTATTTTCGACAGAGGCTAAAATGCTGTGAGCGAAATGCTCAGATTTGGGTGCACGTAAAGAATTACATGAGGTTGGAATTTCTGGAGCCCTCCACTACTGCGTCTCTCATAATCATACGGTGGTTAAGGGAAACCCCACGTATCAGTCAATCAATTCTGTATCCACAAGTATGCTTCCACGTGCGCCCAGCCAGTCGTCTGTTAACCTACTAACCAGTGAAGTGGCTTATCTAGACAGGTATTTGGCGCTGAGAACAGACCAGTGGCATCCACTGGCACGTTTGACATGAACAGTGTTGTTTTGCCCTCAGTTGTTTCTTATGTGTTTTGTGAACATCATGGGCAGGAGGTAGCCAATTGGTGCTTTTCTTTTGTTACGTTGTTAACTTTGAGCTGATAGCTGTCCTTCAGTGGTTCGATTATAGTTTCACGCATGCGTTTCCATGTATCAGTGTAAGATAAAGCCTGGCCATCTTCTGTGAATACACTTTAGTATGAAGTAAACAAAGAAGAATAATAACGCTCATTTTATGTAGTCCTTCTCTTGTATCTTGTCTGCTTTGCGCTCAAAGATACCAACAAGAGTATAATGCATAGATTCGCGTCCGCTTAAGTTTCCTACTTTCGACTCCGTGTGGCACCAGATGCCCTGCAGCCGCCTTATCGCATGCAGTGATGGAAGTGCTGCTCCAAGTGCTCCAAACTGCTCCAAAAGAGAAATTGTGCTCCATGTTGCTCCAAATTGCAATATTTGCTAGTAACGGCTCCAAATTTACTCTAAAGTGGTGTTGGCAAAAAAAAAAAATGAAGTTGAACCATACGACCACAGAAGCGAAATCAAAAGCAAGCTGCACTATCAAACTAGTATGCTACGCAGTGGCGTAAATCCAGAAAAATCTCAAGGGGTGACACATATCATTCCATAGTGGCCATTTTTATATGTGTTTCATGTTTATTAATGTAAGAAATAAATCATGCTTCCCAATCAATTAAAAAAAACTAGCATGTGGTCCGATCTTGAGTAATTGCATTGTTCTATTCGGTCTCTTCTTTTTTAACTCTTTGCGATTCCCATGGTTCACACAACTCAGGATCCTTTAACACAAGTACACAGTAAAAATATAAAAAGCATTTTGAAAGTTTACTGCTCTACGCTTAACTGTTACCTCAATTATAATACGCGCTAAAGCTAAATATCAAGGGGGCACTTGCAAGCGCTGTCCTCCCCACCATGAACACAAGAATAGTCTGCACTCTCTTCACCCCTTCCCCCCTCCATGATTTACGTTAACTACACTGCTTGTACACTAGCTGCATACTAGCATACGGCATTATTAATAATAAATATATATATAGTGACTAGACGCTTAAGTGGTGTTTTAGACTTCAGGAGTCTTTCGGAACATGGATCTGCTCCGAAAACTTCAATAGCAACCCCAAGCTATAGCATTTTTTGCTGCTCCGAAGACACTCAAGGCTGCTTCGAAGCACCATTTTTTTTCTGCTACAAAATCTGTTCCGGAAATCAAAATGTCACTTTCATCACTGCTTATCGTTCGAAGAAGCTGAGAAAAATCACCACCTTTATCCCTTTTAGAGCGAAAGCTGTGTATAGCCAGGAAAAACAAGAAACCGTCCGGCAGCAGTGTCACGAGTGGTCTTCATTGGCTGTTTATCAGTTACGTCTTTCTCAGCGTTGTACCCAAGCACGCGCTCCATTGGCTGCGTTGTGAGTGACGTCATACATCGCGTCGCAGTCGTGGCACCGAGCGCGCGCGTAACCAGTTTCTCATGAAGCCTTACACATGGGTATGCGACGGACAACTCTAGAAGAGCGCCGACTGCGGTAGCATGAGGGAGCTAGTATAGTTTTCACAGGTTACGTATATAAGCTTACCTGGGCATAGTCCACGAGTTTTCCATAGTCTGGGTTATCTCGGTAGCTCACGATAAGTTCGATGGAGAAGATGCTGTGGGCTTTCTGGAAATAGAATAAGCGTTGAAAAGCAGGAAGAAGCAAATAAGTGTGTTGCACAGGTGTCACAAGTTAATAAAAACACATTATTTTTGTACGCCTTCTTTGGTCCTCAATCTTTATTGGCTTTCTTATGATTGTTCTAGACATTAATCGACTCGATCAGTCTGTTCAAAAGTGAGGGCCTCGTCTGCGGCAACGATAGGACACTCCGAAAACATTTGATGGTTGGATCATCCCCAGCCAAGTAGCTCACATAACACTGCATTTGGTTCAAATTAAGAAGTCCGCAGCGGCACTGCCATGACGGCTGAAGTTCGGCAGCCAATTGCCACCGCGGCGAAAAAAACAAACATCTAGAAGATGCTTTCGACAATGTTTTTTGAGAACAAAAAAAAAGGGGGGGGGGGGTGGAGAGCTAATTGTCACCGGCAGTCAGGCTCATGACGTCAGCCTGGAGTGCACGCCTATTGGTTGAGGACTGTGTGCATCCGCCTTTAAGAAGAAAACGCCGCAGACTTCTTAACTCGTATCGGACTGTAGTCGCCAGGCGGCCAAAATTTCCGGAGCCGTCCACTACGACGTCTCTCATAATCATATGGTGGTTTTGGGACGTTAACCCACACATATCAATCAATCAATCGGACTGTAGTCGCCCGCCTGTTCCCCAACCACATGCCGTAACCACCGTGCACGTGTTTCTGGAGTAAGCGTTCACACCACAACAGCTCGGCTTCACACGACGCGAGGAAAAACGTCGCTAATCGCGTCGTTGGTAGAACGGCACACCTCTGTCGATCCTATAGCTATGGAAGTATAACGATACCGGCAAGGGCATAAAGTGAGAACCACGAAGCGGCCCTGCGAAGATCGAGCTACTGGCCCGCTCAGAGACACGGGCCAATCACGTACACCGGCAAAGCACCGATGCTTTCGAAACGCCAATCAGAAGCTAACCTTTCGCGGAAATGGAGTGGCGGTGGTATCTCGACCCTTACAAAAATTCTTTTTGGAAAAAAAAAACAACGAGAAGTTATTGAGCAATGACAACAGATGGCATCGAAAACACATGACGGTTCAATTACAATGCCGTTGAGGAAATTGTTGACCAGCATTGAAAATTGGCCCACGACTTTCAATTGAAAAGTCATCAACGAACTCGATATAGATACCATAGATGAAATACTTCCTCAATTGTATTTCAATAAGCATGAGACGATGGCATCTTTATTGCAAAGTGCTCAACAGATATTGTCGACGAAGTATAGAAGCAAGTCTACGACTATTGTGGAACCATTGACGATAAATAGGGTCAATCATTCGATCATAGTCCGACAATGGAAAATGAACAGTCATTTTCACGTTTTAAGAATAAATTATGCACGCCTTAGACTACCATTCTCCGTTCCGGTTGTGCTTCTCTGATTGCGGACTCGTGGACTGTGTTTAGGAAGAAGTGTTCAACGATTTACCTCGTACTATACGACAGAGCAGGGAGCCGTCCCTATTCTAAGCCCTCACGAAAACTGTGTGTAGAGAAAAAGTGTCTTTGTGTTTAGAAAATTTTATTGCCACATACGTAAATAACATTTCAACAGAAAATTTTCCTGTCAGACGTACATTTACTATGCATACGAAACAAACCTCATTTAGATGGACGTGAATATGAGATGACGTGGAAAGAACATGCACATTCGACGTTTCACACAAACGCAGCCACACAAAAATGTGTCACAAAAAGACAGGTACACATATGCATATCGCAAGGTAAAGAAGACGCACAAATAAAACATGAACCTGTACATTTCGCGTATTTACATGTGGCCATGGCATTATTGCCGACGCACCAATGCATCAGCCTGCGTTTAGGAAAATTTGTCACAGACGTCAATAACATTTCAACGAAACATTTTCTTCTTGGACATATATTAACGATGATGACGAAAGAGACTTACAAGCGAAGGAAAACAGTTAAAGTCAGTTTAATCTCGACACACTGTTATTGTGTGGAATTGGGAGCGTCAATTTGCCTTTGTTCACCTGGTGTTTAAACTGGGTTTATATGCTCTTTTTGTGTTTTTTGGCATTTTATTTTTTTGTTTTTTACAAACTTTTGTGTTTTTTGTACCAATACACGGCATTTCATATCACTTCCCGTTCTTTTCATGCTAACACTTGACTTATTTCGACACTATTTACTTTCTGCTGTAAGGTCTTTATTCTACTGTTATTCTACTGCTTGATGCTCTGAGCGTGGAGCGCCTCGACTTGGTCTCGACTACAGCGTTTTGCTGTCGCCCCGCCGACTCGGACCAAGGAGGATTAAAGAAAAATTGCTGGAGTGGAAGATCCCGCAATGCCTTGCCAGCAGAAGTGAATCCAGCTTTTGCCACTGCCAAGATGGCGGAAACATGCTCTTTTCCTGTACTGCCCACTTAAATATCTAGTGGTTTTGATGTGTTACGTAAATGCTACGTTAGTTCTATATTAAAAGATAGTTGTTCCCGACGAAATAACACACAGAAAGGAGTATGGATGACTGAATATTCAAAGAACTTTGCCTCCAATTAGAGGGTCACTAAGAAAAACTAGTAACTGTAAGATGCACTTGGAGCACTGTGTGACCCGAAAAAGTTACCACATTAAATTCGTTGGGCTTGCGAAGGAAACGCTGCGTATGCTCTAGTACGCATGCATAAGTGTTATAATTGATACATTTTAATTTTTCTTTGACTTGTAACATTTGGATACCCAGTGATCAATTAGATTTTGGTGCTCGTTTGTAAAATGTATACACCGTCTTTACTTGTTTTCGATGTCTCGTTTGTGTACGTACAAGTTAAGTGTACAATAAACTTCCGTTCTTTAATCACTGAATGGTGATAATTTATCATGCCCCTGGTAAGATGACCGCCACAGCCGCCATCTTGCCAGAAGAACGTTCTGCTCAATCATTTCCACTCCAGCAGTTTTTTTTTCAAATCCTCCTTGGCTCGGACACACGAATCAACCGTTCGATGATGCTGGCGTTCACGAGCAAGCCAGCCATGGCGTTCCAAATGACCATCTGATTGCCTTATGCGTGTCGAACATGACACCAGCGTAACCACAGTTTCCTGTAGTATTTACCAGATTAAACTCCGGCGTCGCGATCGTTCGGCCACCGTGGATAGTGTACCTCTTTGCCTAATTTTCGGGCTTGCGGGCGTCAAACGCACTTGTGGCTTTGTCTATCATTGCGTTTTGCTTTTACTTGAAATGAAAGGATGGACAGTTCTCAAATCGCTGTCTACGCCTTCTTGTCACGAGCTGTCAGGAGCTTTGGTTGGACGGAATTGCTGTCGAGCTAGAGCATTACTCTCACGGAATTCATCGGCGAAATGCTCTCGACAGGGGACAGATCGCCACTAGACAACGTTGACGGCAAAAGTGTACGCACGGCAATGTTCCGTATACTTTTTGCTAATTTATTTATTGATATGTGGGGTTTATCGTCCCGAAACCACAATGTGATTATGAGAGACGCCGTAGTGGAGGGTTCGGGAAATTTCGACCACGTGGGGTTCTTTAACGTGCACCCAAACCTGAGCACGTGGGCCTACAGCATTTCCGCTTGCATCAAAATGAAGCCGCCGCAGCTGGGATTCGATCCCGCGACCTGCGGGTCAGCGGCCGAGTACCTTAGCCACTAGACCACCGTGGCGGGGCTCTTTTGCTAATGGGTGTACATATGTGCACACATACGAAGGCACGTACGGAGATACGTGAAGTATGGTTCAACCACCCTTCCATCTCAAAAAGAAAAAAAAAAAACCCTGACCGCGCATCTGCGTGCTACACTGCAAAGGTCGTCGAATTGTTTCCGTGCGTAGCATCGCGTTTTCAGCGCAGCGTAAGAAAGAATAGGGTCCTTAGAGTTACACATCTATGTATTTTGTAGTATAAAAGAACACACAACATAATACTCATATAGTAATTTCGCGCTTCTGATATGCGTAATATCTGCTTTTTGATCGACAATGTTCAAGAGTATGAACGCAGCCACCAGTTCAAGATGGCTGGGTGTCCAGCAAGTGCCTAAGCTTTGGCCGGGTGGCTGAATCGCGTGACACAGACAGACAGATTAAAATTTATGGCTTCAAGTATCCCAAGAAATACTATAGATCTGCTTTAAAAAGAAATGGCTGGCTGCTCTACTGCTCACATTCTTGGTCAGATATGGTAGGGTGACAGTGGCGGCCACGAAGAGGATGTCGAGGAGAATGAGCAGGCAGGTGCCTTGGATGTAGCACTGCAGGAAGCCGACGTTCTCTCGGAGCGCCCCGACGAAGCCCGTGAAGGTGATGACCATCATGAGGAGCGAGAATAACAGCGCCGTGATGTCCCGGTTGACCACGAAGCTGACCAGGAGCGAACGACGCCGGAACGAGATTTCGCTGCCACGATCCACGATGGACGAGATCTGTGGAGGGTACCATAGGGTGCTGAGCACATAGGCATGAGCGAGCAGGTCGGGAGGGGGGGGGGGGCGGTGTTCCCTTTCACTCTGATCAACTAAGGAGAATGTAAACTCTAGCCCTATATCTTCGTGAACGACAAGGTGCAAGGCTACTCTTTTGAAATGAGAGCACGCTACTTAAACGCGTACAGAAAGACAAGAACAAAGACAGGGAAAGACAGGGATAAAGCACAGTGTCCCTGTCTTTCTCTCCGCGTCTAAGTATTGCACTCTCATTTCAAAACAGTCATGTATCACCAAGTCGCCCAATAAACCATATTGCAAGGCTACATAAGACAGGAGAGGGAAAGACAGATCACAGCGTTCTCTCGGTCTCCCTTCTAGCTCTTCTTACGTAGCCTTGAGCCTTGTCGTGTGTTTAGAAAAAAGTGGTTAATGATTTAAAGTACTTGGTACTCTAGTATGGCAGAGCATAATGCCGTCACGTGGGCGTCAAATCGGACGAGGCCGGGTTCACCAAAATTACGTCACGAGTGACTTCACGACGGTGCGGAAACCGACCACAAGCATTGTACGTACACCTACTTGCCCAACATAGCGTGCTGTTAAAGCACATTTCGTCTACAACGACCCTTTTCAGTTCGTTATACCTCCTGCTCAGCCTCACGGCCTTCGGTCTATCTGTTACCCCTTTACCCCTCTTGTTACCACTCTGTAGTCCAACAAGCTTTGCAGCAACTGCGTGGTCTAAAACAGAGTACTGTTAAGGTGCATTTCATCGACAGGAAGCCTTTTTATATCCATCATACGTTCAAAGCAAGTTCACGGCGCCAAGTCTGTCCTCCTTCTTTTCTTTTTTGCTAAGCCTTGTGGTTCACCAATCTTTGCACCAACCGGCCTAACAGCGTGCTACTAAGACACATTTATCTATGTGGACCCTTGTGGACCCTTTTCGTCCTTTATTTATACACTCTAATCAGCCTCATGAAGTTTTTCTGTTCTCCTTCTTTCTTCTCGTGAGACAAAAAAGAAGGCAGGTGCCACTATATTTAATAAGCGCGATTGGTCGGAGCACTCATGGAAATTCTCTGTGGTAGGGACAGCAATGGCTGTGGGTGGAGCTTATATTTTTGTCTGGTTGCAAATGAGCATAGAGTATCAGATTTTCGATATCAAAGAAAAATCGGGGAGTAATATAAAATATTATGGGAATAGCCACGCCACCACGGCGCCCTAAGTATTTCGGAATGGCATAACTTCTATTTCTCAATAGATGCGAGCTCGTGCGAATGGATGCGAGTGTCGTCGTTTCAGATCAACTCACACAGGCGAACGCGACCACGCAGGAGACCGCGAACACCAGCAGGTTGACGAACACCAGCGGAATCCTGTGAAGGGGGCTCACGTCGACGAATGGCGGTGACTGCTCTTGGTCCGGCATCCTCCCCATTGTTGTTGTTGTTGTTGTTGCCCCTTCGCACTGGCACATACCCACTATGGGGGATTGGCCATGAAATCTAGAAGTATCCTATATGAGATATATTAAAAGGTTTATCCTTAATGAAAAAACTAATGATGTAATAGAAATAATAATTAACTAAAAAGGAATATTAAACTAAACAAATAATTGAAGATTGAATCAAGAAGAGAAAAGGTGAGGTAATACTACAGTGGAAGACAGAAATTTTGAGTAGACCAGACAATCGAGCTTATCTCACCCGGTCACAATCAAATGAATATGCAAATTTCATTCAAAATTAGACAAGTGTCTTCAGAAATATATTTAAGCAGGCATTATTATGACATGCGCTTTGATTCTCGAATGAAATTGCATACAGCATCGAATACGCTCCTGTGGCAATGTCCCAAGCTAAAGGCACCGAAACTTAGAACATTATCTGCAGTTAAATTTAAACCTACTGCTTGAAACGGAACAATTAAAAGTCTTTTCCTAATTAATGAATAGTTTTTACATGTTATAAAGTAATGCTCTATTGTTTCCGTTTCTTCACAGAATGGACACAGGGGGGATATCGCCAGACCAGCTCTGTGCAAGTAAAAGTTTAATGGAGGGACACGACATCGAAATTTGGTTAAAATAACTTCTAACTTTTTAGATTGACTCCACTGAGGTTTCCAGGGGTATGTTAGGTGCTGATAGTCCGTATATTTAGTAATATTTTCCATAATATCCGTATAAATAGCCCATTTTCTATATCTGATCGACACTATGTGTTCCGATTCTGGTAGTACCGAGATCACAGGGCCATCAAGTGTGGCTCGAGATAGTGAATCGGCTATTTCATTCAACCGTATGCCACAGTGTCCCGGGACCCAGACTAACTTCAGGAACTTCACATGAGGTGGAACTAATGTTTGTAATGTCGCTAGAGCTCTTGATTGTTCTGAAGCTGTGAGAGTAGTACACAGCGAAAGAGAATCAGTAATTATCATTGCACTCTCTTCGTTTGAAGGAAGTTTTCGTAGCGCTAAAATAATAGCCAGGAGCTCAGCTTCGAAAACCGGAGTGAAGTCTGGTAGTCTTACCGAGAATGACCAACCGAGGTAATCTGAGACGATTCCTACTGCTGCCTTTTCTTTATTCACAGAAGCGTCTGTGGCTATTATGTTCTTTATTTCCGCATGAGCTATGTAGTCTTCTAACCTGTCATTTAAGTAACTCGAAGATTGAAACTTAGATAGTGGGGGAAAAATTTCATCACATTCTATCGTAATATTGTGATTTAATGCTTTGGTTCCAATTACCGATCTGATATCCACCTTTATGCTTTCAAGTTTCTTTTGTACAAAAATAATCTGGGGAGTACGAAAGCGTGGCCAGTGAGCGAGGAAGAAGGCGTCGGGGTCACTAATAAAGGCATATGCAGACCGTCTCGCTGATAAGCCGTAAAATTTCAAGTATGTTTGTACTGTTAAGATACGGAATCGGCAAAGAATAGTTGGTATGCGAGCTTCCTGATATAGTACATTAATAGCGACATACCTGGGGAGTCGCAAACACAACCGTAACGCTTCTCGCTCTAATAGAACTAACGGTTTAATTTTGTACGTAGGGCCACCCGAAAATAATATACACCCAAATTCGAGTATTGGGCGCATGTACATTTTATATATCATTAATAAGGTGTGTCTACGTAACCCATATTTTCTGTTGCTCAACCTTCGCAATAAGCCTGAAACTCGTTGTGCCTTTGCCACGTTATAGTCTATGTGAGGGCTCCAGTTAAGTTTCTCGTTATAAATAATGCCCAAATATTTGATAGACTCTACTTGTGGAATCGGTTCCTGATTATAAAGTACTGAAATTTGAATAGAATCTGCTATAGGGAACACCAGGAGCGCACTTTTACTGATGTTTAGAGACAATGAAATTGAATGCAGCCAAATTTCAAGAGAATACATGTACTTTTGCAATTTTTGATGCAAAGAATAAATGTCACTGTCTGCAACGAAAAATGCAATGTCGTCTGCATAAATGTAGACAGTGATATCTCGTTCAATGGGAATTGAGCTCATCAACACATTGAATAACAGCGGAGATAGGACCGCCCCTTGAGGTACTCCACGTTGCTGTTTGAATTTAGATGAGTGACATCCATCCTTTGCACAATAAAATTCTCTCGATTTTAGAAACTCCCCATTCTTATGACGTCTTGTTCTTCTTCGCCGATAATAGATGGCTAGCACCCACTATGGGGGACTGGCCAATAATCCGCCTATTACTTTTTCCTGTGCTGCCCTCTGCTGATCTGGAAGGGTTTCGGTTGGACGGGATAGGAGCGTAGGCAGAATTTTTGAAGGGGAAGAGGGGAGCACCTTTTTGATCTGAGGGTGGTGGTGAAGAAATGGTCATATTGATTTCGCGCTAAATACGGCATGGCGGGAAATTTTTCGGGGGGGGGGGGGGGGGACTGGCTCTGTGTGCTACTTATCGGTAATGTCAGAAGTTAAGCAACCGAGACCAGGACGTGTATCGCCATTTTTCTGCCAGGAGTTAAAAGTACACAAATGCAAATGCTGAAATAGCGGTCCAGAAACGCCGTATAGTGCTACTTTTGTGCTAAGGAAGTGTTTATTTTGAATAAAATCACGTTTTACTGCACCGCATTGCCTCAGCACACCTTGAATTGCCCGCCAGGAAGTGGAAAATTTCACGTCGCTATTGCTGTCGGCTTTGCTGAGCGGCCGCAGACACTATAAGCAGCAGAGCGAAGGTAGGGGGAGCCACAGCAGCAACAACTGCCACTCAACGATTTACTGCCGTGGCCTCCAAGATAGCAGACGTTTTTGGTTCAGCCAAGCCCCGATAGACGGCATGAACTGTCCAGTTGAACCAGGCGAAACCAGTCGAACTGTCCATTTAAATCAGGCCACGTGTCTGCGTCTTCCCTTTCATAAAAAATAACACTGTACGTGCTTACGTGATGTCAAAGTAGTAGCACGCTAAAAAGGGGCGACATTCGCGGCAACTACTGGAACTTGTTGAGCCGCGGCTCAAGGGCTTGAGGCGTGCGACTGCGCAGCAAATCGCGGCGCAGAAACACGAATTCCTCTCGCGCTCACCTCCCACTTTTTTCTTTATTTTTTGCTTGAGTTTCAAAGGCAGTTTATGATCGGCACATCTTGGACCAACGAACAATCTCCCTTGACGGTGCCATCAGGCGACGTCGCGTAAAATTACGGCATAGTATCATCAAGATAAGGGCACAAACGACGGTGATATCTGTGACATCATAACGCTTTGATATTTTTGCCTGCACTCGTGCTGAGGCCACTGTGGTGCAATTATGTACAAATTCTAAATCCGGACGGAGGCGGTCTGTTCCATTGAGTCTCGCACGATTGGCCCATTCGAGCCGTGACGAATGCTGTGACGTTCTGTGTGACGTGGGCCAAGATGTCACCGTGACTGCTTTTCTCCGGTTTTCGGACGCAGGCGAACGAACCGTCGGAGAGACCGTCCGAAAGGAGCCGGATGGATTGAAATGGTTGCAAGGTGGCATGGCTTGGATTGAAACGTAAGGGTTTCGCGGCTTTTCAGCATCCGGGCACTTAGAAAAACATGGCGTTTCCCACTGCCACGGTTTTTCGTCTCGCCTGTGTTTTTTCGCGCAGGTCCTTCATGGTTCAACGCGTGGCTGAGCTCTTGCCACAGCCGTTGCTGGTCGGCGACGGTGACGCCGTGCCGCAGCTTGATGGCTTTCGCCGCTAGCCGGGGATGTTCGTCCAAGGCGAGCAGCAGCGCGCGCTGAAGCTCGGAAACGCGGATGAGCCGCTGCTGCTGTTGGCTGCAGCTGGTGCCGTTGCCCTCCGCCATGATTGCGCTCGACTGAGCCAACGGCTTCAAAAGTTGCGCCACAGAACACCTGCGCCGTTTAGGTTTGAATAGTCGTGGAGATATGAGGGCAGTAAATGCTTCAAACGAGGTTGTACTTAGCGCCACTACTTACCGTGTCGCTAAATCTAGCGTCGTTTCAAAACAAGAACGAAAAAAAATACGTTTGAATTGTGCCGTATTTTTATTCAACATTTCAAACTAGTGCCAACACATTTCAATAGTGAGCAATAATAAACATTTTTCAACATGTTAGAAACAGTTTTCACTTTGCTCTACGATCCCCAAGCCGACGTCAAAATGATGACGCAGGCCTCCATTTCCCTCATTGGCTGTTCGCTTCCCCTCGTCTTCGCAACTGCTGCGGACTGCCCACTTGTTGACGTCACCGACGGAACGAACGCCTCCGTCCGGATTTTTGAATTTGTACATAATTGCACCACTGAGTACGGCCAGTTTTCGCCATCTTACAAGCAGCTGGTCTGGACGTGCGGTTATGTTAGTTTGTCAGTCTGACGGGGCTGCGCGTACTTGTCATCATTATCCTTTAGTATATATTTTCCCCTTTCCCCATTCTCGGTGTAGTGTAGCAGGCCAGGGCATACTACCGCTAAGGCTGACCTCTCTGCTTTTCTATCTCTGTCGCGCGTTCGATGAAACATCTAAGGCTTTCGCCTTTTTGAATGCGCGTGGCAATATAATGATGTGTTCGTAATTACAAAATGGATTTACCCATCAGCAGTTTTACCCATTGAGCGTTTCGATTTTGTAAGATCCACTTTGCAATGCAAATTCTTGGCCCACCTTATCCTTGAATCACGTTTCATCCCATGTACTTTACACTTGCAGTAAAGACACATCATCACTGTCATCATCGTTTCGTGCTTTTGCAGGGCACGTGCTGCGTGTGAGTAGTAGAAGAAGAAGAACAAGGGGTGAGGTTGCAATAACGTTCATTCTGTCGTCTTTCTGCGAGAAGTTTCCGGAGAGCACCCGATGTCCCATGGAGAACCGTATGTGTCACCTTACTGTACGCGAAGCATGACGTCCCGACGAAGTTTATTTTAGTTTCAATGTCATACTTT